ATGCTGCCACTGGCCTGGGATCCCTCAGAAGTCCTCAAAAGGCCTGCATGAGTGACCTGGGGTCCAGAGGGTCATATACTGAGCGGTCAGTTCTTCTGCAAACACTCCTCCCCCCCTGCACGACCTGCATGTTCTGAAGGCTTCTGCCCCTGCCAATACCCAGGCTCCCACGACAAGGGTGCAGAGGGGCACAGCACGGCAGAGCTGGTGTGCCCGAGGTGCCCGCTGGTAACCAGAGACCCAAGTCACGCAAAGATTTGCAACACAAAAAGAGATGAAAGAAAAGATTTATTTTGAGAAAAACTCACTTCCCACAGACAGGAAGAGGGCCAACACTCTAAAACGAGTGCGGCCCTGTGGCCCTGCGAGTCTCGGCTTAAATCCTTACCCTTGGAGATGCTACAATCAGGTAGACGTGAGTGCTGTGACTCCCTTGTTGACCATTTGTGGATGTTTTGGAGACCCTGGGGGGGGTGGGTCCAGCCACGGGTTCTCACCACCGCACCACCCCCCAGCCTCATGCCCAGGAGTTTATTTTCAGACGACAATAGGCCAATACTGGTCATGCTTGAGGGGTCTGTGTTTCTGGAAAGACAAAATCGGCAGAGTTGATCTTTACCCAAGGAATACATTCTTCCAGGGCAGAGTTTCCACTTTTTCTTTTCCCTTTTTACACTCCCAAATTTAATAATATTACAGAACTCTGAGTACTAAAAAGGTGTGAAAAGTTCTTAGTAGAATTCATTTATGGTCATTAATTCATTACAGATGATGAACACACTTTCTTATGCTTATTTATCAATAAAAAATTTGCATGAAGCTTTAGTAATCCTAGGATGTGCTCTTCCTCAACTTTGTGCTGAGCTAGGTGGGTCCACTTTTTCATCATTATGCTAGGGTATAGAAACAAAACAAAAATGGCTTCCTGCTCTCAGCCCATCCTTTCACCCACGGCACACACCTTGGATTGCCAACCACCGACTGCCTGCCTGGCACCCTGGAGGATTGCCTATTATTAAATCGCAACTCCAGACCAGTTCCAGCCTAATTAAACGATTATAGCAAATGTCTCTGCCATCAGGTGGCCAAATGACATCTCCAACAAGGTCTAAGGTCCTCCAAATTTCTCCTTCTTTGGGTACTTTCTCTCAGCCCTAGGGTGTTATGTAGACTTTCCTTATATCTTATAGTTACTTTTATCATAGTTTATTAAATTTCCTTGTTTAACCTATTGGGTGGGTTTTTTTTTTTCTTCTTCTTCTTCTTTTTTTTTTTTTTAAAAAGTCTCACTCTGTCATCCAAGCTGGAGTGCAGTGGCACAATCTCGGCTACCACAGCCTTGACCTGCTGGGCTCAGGTGATCCTTCCGCCTCAGCCTCCCAAGTAGCTGGAACTACAGGTGCACACCACCACACCCAGCTAATTTTTTTGATTTATCGTAGACGGTGTCTTGCCAAGTTGCCCAAACTGGTCTCAAACCCCTGGACTCAGGCAATCTTCTCACCTCCACCTCCCAAAGTGTTGGGATTACAGTTAGCCTATTGGGTGGTTTCTATTTTGACTGGACCTAGACTGCTGGTAGCTGTACCATTTTGCATTCTCTCTAGACATGAGAGCTAGTTGTTTCATATCTTTATCAGCTTTGGTATGATCAGTCTTTTTAATTTTAGTCACCCTGTAGGTATATAGTGGTATTTTTTTTTTTGAGTTGGAGTCTCACTGTCATCCAAGCTGGAGTGCAATGGCACAGTCACGGCCACCATAGCATCAACCTGCTGGGCTCAGGTGATCCTTCCAGCCCAGCCTTCCAAGTAGCTGGAACCACAGGAGTGCACCACCACGCCCGGCTAAGTTTTTGATTTATTGTGGAGACAGGTCTCGCCAAGTTGCCCAGGTTGGTCTCGAACCCCTGGACTCAGCCTCCCAAAGTGCAGAGATTACAGGTGTGAGCCACTGCACCTGACCTATAGTGGTATTTTATTGTTATTTTAGTTTGCACTTTTCCTGATGATAATGGATGTTACAATTTTGAATACCTTACAATGTGTAGCCTAAGGAAATTTTTGAAAGGATTAAAAAAACTTGAGTATAGAAGTATTAAATAGCTGGGCTTGGTGGCTCAGCCTGTAATCCCAGCAATTTGGGAAGCCAAGGCAAGTGGATTGCCTGGGTCCGCGGGTTCGAGACCCACCTGAGCAACTTGACGAGACCTTGTCTCTACAATAAATAAAAAATTAGTCGGGTGTGGTAGCAAGCACCTATAGTTCTGGTTACTTGGAGGACTGAGGCGGAAGAATCTCTGGAGCCCAACAGAATGAGGCTGCGGTGGTCGGGAGCGTGCCACTGCACTCCAGTCCAGGCAACAGGGTGAGACTCCAACTCAAAAAAAAAAAAAAAAAGAAGTATTAAACAAAGACATTGGCCTGATGTGGTGGCTCACATCTGTAACCCCAGCACTTTGGGAGGCTGAAGTAAGAGGATTGCTTGAACCTAGGAGTGTGAGACCAGTCTGGGCAACATAGTGAGACCTCGTCTCTACAAAAAAAATTAAAAGTAAAAAAATTAGCTGAGTAATGTGTGCCTGTAGTCCCAGCTACTCAAGGCTGACACAAGAGGGTGGCCTGAGCCTAGGAGTTGTACACTGAAGTGAGCTGTGCCTGTCTGCCACTGCATTCCAGCCTGGGCAACAGCATGAGACTGTGACTCAAAAAATAATAATCAGCAAAGAAATAATAAAAGAGGCAAAACCATGGCATTAGCTTTGCATTAGGGAATCTATGAATATCCAGTATTTTAAAAATTTGTAATATTTAAGTTAAATTGGCCTATTCAAATGACAGGTCAATCTTGTAATACCAATTTAAAATGTGGAATTCAGGAGTCAGAGACGAGAGAATTGCCTGAGTTCAGGGATTCGAGATCAGCCTGGACAACTTGGCAAGACCTCACCTCTACAATAAATCAAAACATTAGCCAGGCATGGTGGCACATGCTTGTAGTTTCAGCTACTTGGAAGGCTGTGGCAAAAGGACCACCTGAGCCCCACAGGTCGATGCTGCAGTAGCCGTGAGTGTGCCACTACACTCCAGCCTAGGAGACAGAGTGAGACTCTGAACTCCCCCCAAAAATCAACAAAATAAAATGTGGAATTAACTTGGTGACTAAGAATCGGTTGAAATCTCACTGTTTATGTACTATGGGAACAATTAATATTAAGATTCACCACATTTATAAGTTTATAATTTTAGATTCATAAAACTTATTTATTTACAAGTATTGAGGAAAGATTCATCTGTGAAGTCTGCCTACCTGTGGTTTTTAAATGGAAATTTTTAACATATTAAATTTAGAAGCATAGTTTGAAAGTGCTAAGGGAATTTAATTAAGTTATAAAAGCTCTCTTTAAAAGAGATTGTTAGCCGGGCTTGGCTCTGCCTGTAATCCCGCGCCTTTGGGAGGCTGAGGTGAGTGGATTGCCTGAGCCCGCGGGTTCGAGACCCGCCTGGGCAGGCGAGACCTCATCTCTACAATAAATCAAAAAATCAGCCGGGCGTGGTAGTGCATGCCTGTAATTCCGGCTACTTGGAAGGCTGAGGCGGAAGGATCGCCGGAGTCCAGCAGGTCGAGGCTGTGGTGGCCAGGAGCGGCCACTGCACTCCAGTCTGGGCGACAGAGTGAGACTCCAACTCGAAAAAAAAAAGAGATTGTTAAACCTTTCAGCGTAGGCCAGGATCAACACTGGTGCTAAAACTACCAAGGCAACGGAGCTCCACTGTGACTGCACATTAGAATCAGCCAGAATTAGACAGCCATCAATATAGATATGTAATTTTTGTCTTAGTTTAAGTTACAGATATGATACCCTTTTACCCCCAAATTCTCTTACGTAAAAGGACAGTCTCAGCCGGGCTCAGTGGCTCAGCCTGTAAACCCGCGCCTTGGGAGGCTGAGGTGGGTGGATTGCCCGAGCCCGCAGGATCGAGACCCGCCTGGGCAACTTGGCGAGACCTCGTCTCTACAATAAATCAAAAACGAGCTGGGCGTGGTAGCGCGCGCCTGTAGTTCCAGCTCCTCGGAAGGCTGAGGCGGAAGGATCCCCGGAGCCAACAGGTCGAGGCTGCGGGGGCCGGGAGCGGCCACGGCCCTCCAGTCTGGGCCACAGAGTGAGACTCCAACTCAAAAAAAAAGAAAAGAAAAGAAAAACACTCCAATGGTGATCATTACTGAAGCGAATAGGTCCAAGGATGGAGACTCATCATACCTTTCTCTTTGCTTTTGTCTGTTTGACAATTTCCTAGACCAAAGGAAAATTAGCGAAATATAAAAACATTTTCTAGACGAACCTTCTGCTAGAAAACACAGAATTTGGCAGATGAGAAGCTAAAACAAACCAAAAAAGGGAAAGAAAACAGTAAAGAGATGACAGCTCTTCTTTTTTCCGCGCAGTTGCTGTGTTCGCTCGGTTCTGTTCTCACAAGCACTTAACGCTCTCGACAAAGCTCCGAGCAAGATCCTGACTCAGCCCTTGCGTGCCAGACACGGACCCGACGGTTCAGAAGTGCCCCCCTCACGGGGAGCTGGGACGAGGAGTTCGAGCCGTCACCAGCGCGGCCGGGAGACATCGGGAAGGGGCTCGCTGCACCGGCCCGGGGAGATCTCTGCAGAGACAGTCCCCAGATCACCCCCCGGTACCGCCTTCCTCTCCCCTTGGACGCCAGAAATTCCGAGGCGAGAAACCGACGGGCGCCACGACCGCCGGGCGCGGGGACGGCTCGGAGCGCCCGCTCGGCCCGCCGGGGG